CTTCGGTCGGCCCATCAGCCATCTTGTTCCTCATGGCATCAAATAAAACTTTCGTCTCTCCCTCTCTCTCTGTCCTCCCTTGTCTTTGCTCGCGCCGTGGTCTCCTGCCCTGATCGCAGACGCAATTGCTCAAGGACCTGGTCGAGAAAGTTCTCCCACCGTGAGTGCCGCCTCGGCGTTGGCCTTTGTACCCCTGCCGTCGTCTGGTGTGATCACTCTCGTACTAGGGGGAAGCTGTCTGCATATATTTACGACCAGGAAGCTCAACAAACGTATTCGGCCATCCCTCCCGCCGGTTCACACAACGTTCCCAAACACGTCAACAAGCCCTCATCTGCTTGCACAACAACTCCGCCCGGTCGTTGAGCGATGTGGCCACACGAGGATACTCCGGACCCAGTACCTTCTCTCGTATGGCTTGTGACCGCTCGTAGAGCGGCTCGGCCTCAGTGTACTTGCCCTGGCATGCAGGAGTACAGGGCGTAGCAAGGGTTGTTTTCGTACAAGTTCAATCAAAGTGGGATCAACACCTGCGGGTAAACGGTTTCTCAACCACGCTCGCCTGGTGTTTGAGCGCTTGGGCCACATACGCGGCTATGCAAACGCGATAATGAAACATTGAACGGTGGCGAAATGAGAATCGCTGCTCGCCTTGCCACCGTGCTTCCGAACGAGGTACTCACATGTAATGTGTGACGATAACGGTAGTAGGACCAGCGAGTGACCGTGCGCTTGATGCATAGCTTGACACACACTCACACACACACACACACCCGTCCCCTCCTCGTCGACCCTCCACCCACATTTGCATTTAACGTTTTCCGCAGGTGGCTGACCAATTTGGAGAAGGCGTTGAAGCTGGCTGGCGGCAAGTACTTCGCCGGCGACAAGGCAAGAAGATGACGAACATTGTAGATACTCAAAGTGACATTGATACTATTTCGCCACGTGTACCACCCCTCACCCGCTCTTCCGTTCGTACATCATATTGCCCGCATCAGCTCAATCGATGGGTACATACTGTATGTCGTTCGCATCCAATGTATCGGATTGGCACAAAGCGCTATCCGGAATTCCATCTTGGGTGTGGATATGATAATTTGCTCAGGTCGTGCGCAAGAAATAGAAACGGGCACAAAAGGTCGCAGCGCAACCGGACCACCACCTCCGGGTAACGGGGTTCGAGGACAAAACACTTGCTTCCAGTGTGGGAAGGAAGATCGTCGGGAAGAGGAAGAGGGTACGTACGTGCTTATCGGCTACACCGACATTTTGAAAATTTTCCCGGAAATTTTTCAAAATGTCGGTGTAGCCGATAAGCACGTACGTACCCTCTTCCTCTTCCCGACGATCTTCCTTCCCACACTGGAAGCAAGTGTTTTGTCCTCGAACCCCGTTACCCGGAGGTGGTGGTCCGGTTGCGCTGCGACCTTTTGTGCCCGTTTCTATTTCTTGCGCACGACCTGAGCAAATTATCATATCCACACCCAAGATGGATTTCCGGATAGCGCTTTGTGCCAATCCGATACATTGGATGCGAACTACGAGGTGCTCAGGACTTTGAAAAATGTTGGTGTAGCCGACAAGCACGCCGTGTGTACCTTCTTCGCTCTTATCGCCGAACTCTTTCCCACCCTGGAAGCAGTTTTTTTTTGTTCTCGGGCCCCGTTACCCGCAGGCTATGGCCCGGTTGCCTGGCGACCTTTTGTGACCGATTCCATTCTTGCGTCCGTTCCGTCCATTTCGTGGTCTCGACGACATTGTTTCTTGCTTCCTTGTCGCAGCTCTCCATCGGCGACATCGCGGTTGTCGCACGGCTGAACTGGCTCACGAACGGTACCTTCGACGAGAGCGTCCCCTCGACCCTCTTGGAAGAGTTCCCCCTCCTGTCATCGCTAGTGCAGAGGGTCATGGCCGAGCCGAGGATCGTGGCGTACATGGAGGGGCGACCCAAGAAGTAGTCTAGATGGTAAAGATTGCTCAGCGGTAGTTGCCTTGCACGCGTGTTCAGCTAGCGTGCTACCTCGGAAAATTATGTGCTGTAGGTAGGGAGATTTTCTGTAGGTAGGCCGAAGATGTTGCAGACAGCGGGCAGGAAGGTTTCCAAAAGCAACAGTAGCGGGCGGTCGACATGGAAATGTCTCTTAGGGTTCCTGTTTGTAGGTGTGTGTCCTGCGTGCGTGTTTCTTGTGCTATTTTCTGCCACCCATGAATGAACTGATGGTCGGCGGCAGCTACGAGTACGTGGTGTGTAAGGCTTGGACGGTAAAAAAACATTGGTTTGGGTTTGATTTGGAACGGATGCACTCTGTGCTTTTTGGGGTTTCAGTTCAAGAGGAACTTTGCATGCGGTACAATATTTTCCTGGAGTTTGATGCCATACGTGCTGCGTGTTCATGCTGTTGTTTTCTCTTCCTTCCTAGCAGCAAGTTCTGCTATGCATGTGTTTTCTGATTTCGTTTGTTTGCTATTCCTGCATCCAAAATCAAAGTGTCATGTGTGGCCATGATTCTAGAGGCTATGTTTTGGCTGAATGTTGCAGCAGGGGGGTTGTTGGCGTAGTGATGTTAGCCCTCGGGATGGTAGTTTTCGGGATTTTTGCATGGATGGATGTTTGCGGATGTTTTCTATCGTTTCTTGGACAACAGGGACAACACCGATTTGCGGGTGCGCGCTGTTTAGGATTTGGTCCTTGGAGGAAGGGTTTGACATGTTTTGACGAGTAACGGTTGGGGCCCCGGTACTTTCCGAATGCTCGTTCTGATTGGCAGTAGCTGAAACTTGTTTTATTCGAAGATGATGTGTCGGTTCTTTGACGTTGTTTTTCCACAAATGTCCGTTTTCGTTCCGACGAATTTCTGATGTACTGTAGCACAGATACATGTTGGGTACTTTGCTGAGGAGGATTCATTTGTGCCGACGTTTTGACAAAATTTCCAGAGGTGAAGCATGCGTTGGATTCGTGAATATACTGATGGAGAGAAGCTTTGTGTTGCATGCGCAGCCAGTCTTGCTGTCAAATAAGTTTCCCAAGGGGTGTTCTTCTCTGTTGGTCACAGTCTCCTACTCGGAAGGATTGCAAGATAGTACGTTGTATCAAGTAGGGGGGGTGTTTGTGGTGCTTGGATATGAGTCCGATCTGTGCGTCCTCGAAGGGGGATAAGCGCAAGGGAAGTAGATATGTATGCGGTTGGGGTCCAAGGGCGCCCCCCCCGGGGGAGCACACGCAGGTAGTTGGTGTGTGTCTGTCCCTTCACTCACACACGTGTGTGATCCGCTTGCCTGTGGGGCTTGCGTGTATGATATAATACGTGACTTATTTTCTTCATCTGCCGTTCCTGGGATAACTTAGTACCCAGTCTCGACAGCAACCGCTGAGGGTGGTAGCGCCACTGAACGGTACAACAGTAGAACGGCATCTGCAGTGTTCATGTCTTTCTCTCTGTTGAAGTGTTGTTCGCGAGCGAGGACCAAACACAACTAATTTGCGTCGTTCGTTTTGCACTCTTTTTGAGCCCTGCTGCTGTACCTTCCATCAAGTGTCATGGTGGTGGGCAGGGTGCTTCCTTTGCAGTTGGCGACCCCCGTGGCCTTTGTAGCCAAGCAGTCATTACATGACTCACCCGTACATAGTCTTGTATGACTGCATGAACCTTTCGTCCGCAATAGTGTCAGCTTGACCCCACCTGGGTACCGTGCGTGATGTGAATGCGAGGTGTTGCCGACAAAACGTATCGGCACCGGGAAGATGTGTTGGCTTCACACAACGATTCGCCCGTTTTTCTTCCTCCCCCGCCACAGCACCCTGGGGGGTTGTAGGCGCGATCCATGGGCAACCCAGATTTCCTCTTAGGGGACAGCACCACCACCTGTCTGCATGACGAAAGAAAGTGTCGAAACATTTATAAGCCTCTATTATTGGCGGTGTGGTTCTAGCGCCCGGTTCCTTGTTTGCACCTGGCATCGCGCACCCACCTTTCGAATAGAGAGATGTACACTGAACTCACGCGTACGGGAAGTGATGCGGTCGCCGTTCGTCGGGACGTTTCACGTTCCATAACCCTTTGCCTCCCGCCCCCATGGCCCGGTGCACCATCGCGAAGGACCGCGTACTACTGTATGGGAACACTGGTACAGCAGTGTACATGGACATACGGCATGCCCCAAAACACTACTACTACTACTGCTGTAGTGTACACCCCAAGTAAACCCTCCACCCGCCGCCCCACCAGAAATATCCCTTAGCGCTTGTTGTGTGGTGCGAGACTTTCACGGCTGGCTGTGGAGAATAGAACGTTGGTTTTGATTTCCAGCGTCATGACAGCAGTACTGTTCTTTGGCCAAAGTACGTTCGAATTCAAACTGTCGACAGTAGTCACTGCTGTTGTGCCGCCCGCCAGCGTGGACGTCGACTTCCTCTCAAGGAGGCTCAAGTACTTTCCCAAGAGGGATCTAAACGTATGAAGGTTTTGGCGTCCACCAGTACGGACGTAGTCACGCGGTCGCTTCTTGAGGATTGAGAATGCTCACAGAGCATATCGAGACATACACCGAGACCTGTACATGCGTCTACAGAACGTATCTACAGCAGTACACATACATGCGTGTGTGGCTATCTTATTTTTTCACGCAAAACAAAACCGACGACACCACACTCTGATAGATGTTCGTGTTTGTTATTCCTCAACAGGGGTTCGTCACGTAGCCTAGACATACTACGCTGTTGTAGGTGCGCGAGAGCGCCCGCACATTGCGGGAGAAGGGACGATACCCCTACATGGTGACGAAGGCAAGCCCGAACTGCCTCAAAATCGCCTCCCCNGGGGGGGGGGGGGGGGGGGGGGGGGGGGGGGGGGGGGGGGGGGGGGGGGGGGGGGGGGGGGGGGGGGGGGGGGGGGGGGGGGGGGGGGGGGATGGCATAGGTGCGGGGGATTGCAATCCACGTGCCCTCCTGGATCGATCGAACTCAACAACTGCTGTAACAACCACCTTCCACCTCCCACACCTGCCTACGTCGTTTGTGCCTTTGTGGTGGCGTGCGTTGTGTCGCGGGGTGTCCTGCTCGAGCCACAAGTCAGATGTCCGACTCTTCGTCTTCCGACGGTGAGGATACCTGGATCCAATGGTTTTGCGGGCTGGAGGGACATGAGATGTTTTGCGAGATAGACAGAGGCTACATCGAGGATGCGTTCAACCTCTACGGGCTGCGCCACTTCGTGCCTCGCATAAACGACAGCTTGGACTTGATCCTCGACCGCACAGGTGAGCGAGGGAAACGCGGTGCTGGTGCAGTAGCTTGGTGTTCTTGGGCCGTTTCTGCGTCTCCATGGTCAGTGGTGATGGCGATAGAGAACCTTCATTTTCGTGAGAAAATAGGACATCGGAGGCGAGGCAGGCGCGCCCCCGGATAAACTCCAGGTTTTTCCACCCCTCACGGCTTCTCTGCCGTTGATCGGCGGCACGTGTCGCGGGTCGCGCTTCGCGCAACCGATAGATCGGATGCCGCCGACTCGTGAAGGGGGGGGTGTGCGGGTGTCGGCGTTACAAAGATCTCACGGCTCTCTTGCAGCAAGCCAGCAACTGGAGAGTTCAGAGAGGAAAAAGGAGATGCGCGTCTTACAGCAGTGTATCCCTCGGTGCCCTGAGAGATGGGGACAAGCCTCAAAAAGAGACATGCACGTGATGCGGTTGCGGGTTTCTGTTGGGGGTGCACCCTCTTTCGAATCTGTAACGAAAGCACCTCGCCCTTGAAGTCTTGTTCCGTTGTACTGGGTACGGACTGATCCAAGTATCACCAACGAAGGTTTCAAATTCGTCCGAGTTGTTTCACCAAACGAGGTGGTGGTGAACTTGGGTTTTGCTCAACCCAAGGTCTGTTGTTTCGTTGTTTGGTATGTACAAATTCGCAGGTCGTGTGTAGACTATTAGTCTCTCGCATCCGCTTATGTGTGCTTCGGCTATTTTACGACGGACCAAAGGCGAGCGCTCTTGTTAAAACAAACCCGATACGCTTTTTCAAAGATCGATTCTCATGCCTGCGCATACGCATGTATTTTGGCCGTACGGTATAAGTATAAGTTTGCGGCTAGTTTCGAGGGGACTGGTGAGGAGGCCGACTCTCAACATGTACTTGTACTCTGGATCTTCATTAGAAAGTAAACATTACCTCACAGAAAAACTACCCGTTCGAAATATAACCTCAGTCGAAAAGGGATGTGGTGGAAGTCTTTTCAGTAAGTGGATTGAAACCGACTGGAGAGTGGGCTTTTCTTTAAGTTTGTGTAAGCCTTACACTGAGGTATCAGTGATGCCAGTTGGTGCTACGGACAGTAGCATCTGTATAAGGCGGATACATTCTGAACACCTTCCCTGTAGTTTTCTACTGGGTCGAAGACAGAACCATCGAGGAGAAGCTCTCCGTTTTGTCATGTGGCGTATGTAGAATTTTACCTTCACAAAGAACACGGCGCAGTATCGTTTGACAACTTGATGTTTTTAGAAAGTATTTGAATCTAGACCCGTGCTCGTGTACAGCGGTAGGACTTTTTGTATCTTTGTATGCATGTTGTAGCTGCAGTCGTTCTTTGTTTTAGGCCGTCCACATGCAAAACAAACCGAGCTCCAACGGCCGTGTTTAATCGTTGCATATTGTCACCGGTTTGGGCTATATTGTCGGCAGTCCCTCTTGAAGCAGTGGCACTGACAAAGACTAGACTCCGAAGAGGGGAAGCCTATACTTCTACTTCTTGTTGTCGATGGGAATGCCAGAGGGCACACGCGACGCTGCGTGTGCCCTGATGTGCTTGATTTGTGTGCGCAGACAGCAGATTCGTTTCGCCTGCTGGGATGTTGCTTGTTTTTGAAAGACGGAAGTGAGTTTAACCGGAATCAGTACGCGGGCCGCGGCTGCATACGGAGTTAGTTCCCTCCAGCTTCCGAAATCGGTTTTACGAAACGTGTCACCCTCAAGACTTGATTCCGCGACACCCACCTGCTCTTATCCCCACCCCCTCTGCGATGCTGCCCTGCCCCCTGCATGTTTTTGCTGTGAACACACGCGTGAATTCTTGTCTGCTGCCAACTCCGATGACCGCAACAACGGTCGCTACTATTGCAGCCCAAAACGAGGCGAGCCACGAACTGATGGAGGCTACCTGCGCGCTGTACGGCCTGATCCACGCGCGCTACGTGCTTACCGCGGCCGGCCTGGAGGCGATGTACGCGAAGTACACGCTGCAGGTGCGGTGGGGTCCCCAGGCCTCCCGGCGTATCTCCGTTTTGCTTTTCTGTTTCAAAGTGTATGGTACCATGGCAGCAATGCGCGGTGTGGCGTGGCCGAAAAGTATCCAGCACTCTCTGCTGTTGCCTGCTTGTGGTGGGTTGCATGAGCACCTCAGGCTGTGGGCCACTGGTCGAAGGTTTGATATAGCGACGACAAGTGGCGTCCGAATATTGACCAGACGCGCACGTGGAAACGTTCCCGGAGGCAAGATTTTGTCATCTGCTGTCCTTTTGGCCATTCGTCCTGCTGTCGAGACATCGCTCCTAGACGATTTTCCATAACAATGGCCGTTCCAAAAGCGCCCTTTGGTGTTTGTCAGACGTTTGTGGCCTGCCTATGTATGCGTTCGGTGTCTCCCTCCCAATGGATCGGTCAGTACTGCATGCGCTGCCATGAACTGCCAGCCAAAAATTGCCTGCCACCGACCGCCGAGCGTCTCCCGCCTCCAGGAATTTGGCAACTGCCCGCACTTCCTCTGCAAGCGGCAGTCGGTGGTTCCTCTAGGAGTGCGGGACGAGCCGCACATAGAAACGGTCAAGCTGTACTGTCCCAAGTGCCAGAACGTTTACGTGCACCCGTCGCACGCAGCTCAGAGTGAGTTTGGTTCAACTTGGCGCCATAAATCGTAGTTTGCTTTCTAAAGCATGTTGTACTTGTTGTCATCTATTAGTGTGGCACCGCCGCGCCCTTTCGTGATCCTCGATCACGCATCCCACACCTGCGTAGCTGCCACAAGCAATGGTGTGTTCGCTGGGCAGGTTGATCTATTGTAGCTGTTGAGTGCTTGGTTATCTGGTTCACGTGTCTACATGCGGCAGAGTCGATATGGTGGACGGGGAGTTTGGGTTGCTTGTATCGAGGTGAGGTATCATGTGATGTGTTTGTGAAGACCATGTGACAAAGTCAACACGTCAGTATTGCCAATCGGCCACAAGGCTGCTCTTGTTTTTGTCCCAAGCAGACTGTCGTCTTGCATACCGTCGTGTCTTGCAGTTTTTTACGCCCTGAAAGGAACGTGCATCAAACGCCTTATCCCCTCTCAGGAGAACTTGTGTGTCCCCCTCGCCCCCCACGTGAGAAAATGTGGCAGCCATGATCAAGGCCGTAGGTTCGCTCTCCAAGCCGACATCCTGTTCCGCCAACACCCTCACCCGCGCAACTGTACCCCCGCGTCTCACGATTACCATTTGTTCCGGCGGGCGTGGCAGGGGTGGACGGGGCGTACTTCGGAACGACGTTCCCGCACCTGTTCTTCATGACGTACGGGACCTTGGTCCCCGACCCGCTCGACAAAACCTTCGTGCCCCGGGTGTTCGGCTTCCGCGTCCACTCCACCGCTCCGAACGGGGCTTCCGCCAGCGGCGACCATCACGACCAGCGCCTGCAGGAGCGTAAGCGGCTACGCCGAGCGAACCTGCCTCCCCCCAAGGAACCAGGCGGGGCGGGGGAAGGCGGAACAGGTGTAGAAGCACCAGCACCAAGGGGAGCGGTAGCAGGAGCGGTAGCCAGCGGTGCTGGGAAGGGGAAGGGGCGAGCGAAGGAAGGCGCGGACACAGGAGGAGGCAGGAACGGGAGCGGGGTCGTGGTGCACATAAAGGAAGAGGAGGGGAGCTGGAGCACAGGCGGAGGCGTGAGAGAGAAGGGGATGGGGGCTGCGGCCGGGAGTGGACCGGAAACGGTGGCGGGGGAGGCGGAGGTCGAGGAGGCGGACTGCCGAAAGGATGCTCGTAGCGGGAGAAGTGGGACTAGCGAGAGAATGGAAGACGGCGGCGATCGCCATGGCAGCAGTCACGGCGTGGAGAACGGACGCGAGACGAGGTAAGGGCGTCGTGAGGTTGCGCTTCTTGCAGCCTTTCTATTGTGTGCATGTGTGCGAACGCCCTGTTTCCCAGCTTTAAGGTCGCCGTGGTGATATCGTTCCCGGGAGGTGGCCTATAGGTTCCCAGCTTTTAAGGTCGCCGTCGTGGTGTGTGGGTTCGAGAAGGGGTCGTTTGTGTGCCTCGTGGCCTCATTTTTGTGGTCGGAGCATCTCCCAGGCTTCCAGGCTTGGATGGCACGTTTTCCGCGCGCGCGGTGCTGCCGCGCGTCGCCGCCGACCTCTTGGGCCCGCGTGTCGTCCTGATGCCCAAAGATCTGTTAGGATGAATCAGTCTACTCCACCTGCACTACGATCTGCTGGCTGACTTGTTCTGCTGTACCGGCGTGCTACACAATGTTTTTTCCCGCCGCCGGCCTTGCCTACGCCCCAGTCCTATCGTAGCGCTACAACACTCCGGGACTCCAACGGAAGGGAAGGGCCCAGCAGAGAGCAACTGCGTCACCATCGCCACTCCTCAGCGGTCCGATGGGGGGAACGCCGAAAACGGCAGCGCCAGGTGTTCCAGTCACGATAGAGACGCCGCTGACGCCGACGAAAGGGCGGCGGCAATGACAAAAACCGATGGCATTGCCAACAGCGAGTCTCTTCCAAGAGATGCCTGCGCTGTCGGGAGAGGGAGCCGTTCTGGCGATGGTGCAGCACAAACCAGCGCGGCGGTGACGGCAGCGGCGGCGGCAGCAGCAACAACAGAGTCGTCGTCGAAATCTGATGGTCCCCAGAAAGATCGGGGGAAGAAGCGGTCCTCCGAGATAGAGCTCGAAACGGAGCTATCCCGAGAAGCAGACGGCGGCGGCGGCGACGACGGTGGTAGTGGCGCAGGGGAGGCGGGCGGAGGAGGAGGAGGAGGAGGAGGAGGAGGAAGAACCAGAGGGAAGGTGCTTCGCGGCGGTAGAAATCACGCATCGCCGGCCGCCCGAGGGGTTTCCTCCTTGATGTCTGCTGCGCCTGCCACCACCGCGATGGCGGTCAAGGGCGGAGTAGTTGGGAGCCCGGGCGGCCGGCGGATTGGTCAAGGCCGCTCCCCCGTGTAATTTGGGCGAGGAGGAGGAGGAGCTGGTGTTTTTTTGTGGTTTACCGAATAGAGGCTGGCGTAGCGTGCTTCGGGGGTGGAGGTGGAGGGGGGGACAGGTACATTACGCCCTGTTTGAAGATCTTGTTGGTTGGCTGGCGTTGGCGGTGCAACTTGTATTTGATGAACATCGACCAAGCCCAAGAACGCCAAGCTTTTTCGTTCGCCCTCTTCCTTGTCCGCTTAGGATGCCCCATTCGTGCTACTTGTACCCTTCCCAAATGGTGTTGCCGGTTGTCTTGTCGCTTGCGTCCTCGTTGTAGCACGCATCGTGACGCGCCATTGCTATTCTCGCGCCATGTTCTTGTGGGTTTGGAAGCGCATTGGGGTCATTTATGGCGTAAGGCTTTTCGAAAAATGGTGTGCAGTATCGGGGACAGCTCTCTCGCGGGATGGGGTTTGGGGTTTGGGGTTTGGGGGGGGGTATGTCTGCATATGCCGCGTAACGCGTCCGGTAGACTTGTAAGTATGTTATACCCTGGTCTTGTCAGGCAGCACTGCCGCATTCGCTGCCCCCCGCTACCTCGCCCGTCGACGTCTATACCCGTTTGGGGGCTGTTTGTATGAGATTAGCGTTTTGCTTTGACCGGCCGATGTTTGACGTTTCTGCTGTGAAATTTGACTTACGATGAGGGGGGGGGTCCGTAGATTTTTTCAGTGGTCGGACGTAGTTTCTACGAGTTTTTTTGTTCACCGCTTGCGACTGACTTGATCGTCGGTTGCTCTTCCGTGAGTCCGTCCGTCCTCCGGGGCCAGTCTGTCTGGATCATCGCCGCTGTTGGAGGGGCCTGCTGAGCAAGGCAAGAGTTGAAGCCTTTTCGCTGTTAGGGAGGTCGAGGTGGAACCGGTCGTTGTATGTTGGGGCCTCCTTTTGTAGCATCCGGCTCCTCTCTCTCAGCTGCAGCGTTGCTGGTGTTCCATCACACGAATGTGTCATTCGTCGCGCACATACCTTGTCGTGGGCGTTTGCACCTACTTTTGAAGGATACTTGGTTTTCCGGTGGTATTCGACAGCCCCTTTTGTACGTACTCCAGTGCTTGAGAGGTGTACAGTTTTAGCACCGGTGGCAGGTGAAGCAAGGCTGGGTACAGCCTGGTCCAACAATACGCGCGATACAGGCAGCGGTGCTTCCGCGCATCGACATGAATTTTGTGTTCGGGTGCGGATTCGAGTACGCCCAAGGGCGAATGATTGACGTCGATTTCAGCTGCGGCGAAGAACAGATAAAAGCAGACACTACAAGACGTTAAGAAGGATGCTGATATGGGGGCAGAAGCAAGACACAATGCTTGCGTTTGGTACCGGTTTCGCTTCGATTGAAACTTCTTGGACAGGGTCGTCGAGTCTTAGGTCGCGCGAAGGGACTGCCGCGATTTCGTGCGCGTAGCTTTCGCGAGCTGGGAGAAATTTTTAGCTTGGTCAATTTTCTCTGTTCAAAATATCGCACACACGATTTCTTTTCAAGTGGGTTATTTTATTTCCGGAGCAGAAACCCATCGATCTCTGATTGGAACATGTGGCAGGCGTTCTTCGACCACCCACCGGGCGGGGAAAATTATTCCACAAAACAAGACATGACGATGCACGGGACCTCATCCTCTCGCTGCGGCGAAGTTGTCGTGCGACTGTTTCGAGTTTATCGTGTGACGATGCTTTGCTCCACACCTATTGTAGCTTTGCTAACAGATGCACTGCTGGTTGGCGCTTAGTTGACGTCATCCCACGTGGCCCCCAAGGTAGAATGACAACAATGACAGCATGTCCTCTCGGTGGGGTCATGTTGTCTTACAGGTGCCATGATTGTTTGAAATCAAAAACGAGGTTCCTTGGCCTGGCACGCAAGTGAAACAAGATCGGTCTTATACGTTGTTGAAGTTTCGCGCCACCCCGAAGGGCGGGGATGGAACATCCTGCCCCCTCCTGCTCAAGGACCCTAGCCCCCAAACGACACTACTCCGCAATCTAAGCTCAACCCCAACGCGCCTGCCAAACGTTCTTCGACATCGAGTTGGCCGGACCCACACTTCAGGCACAATGGCGGTCTGCCCGACCGTATCTGTTCTTAGCACCACGGCACCAGGATAGTCAAATCACGTGGACATCGTCCATGAAGGGCCGATCGATCGTTTCGATCACGTTTGCCCGGCCGGGGGGCGGGTAAATATCTGCTCGTAAACCACATCGGGCGTCGACACCGTCGTTCCCGCTAGGATCACCTCCGTATCCAATCCGCCGCCCCCCGCCGCCGCCGCCGCCGCCGCCGCCGCCGCACACCGCACGACGCCGCTGACCTCGGCTAACTCGAGGGGTGTGTAGCCGCCGACAAGGAACACAACTATCACCGGCCGGTCGGTCGGACTTTTAATTTGTCGTTAGGGTTCGGCGGCGCAGCGTTGGTGGGCGGCGGTACCGGAGAACAAAAGCCGCAGGGCATCCAAGGTCGGGAGGAGGTGGGTGCGGTGGAACGCCGAGAAATCGCGCAAAAATAAACAAGAACAACAAGGAGGGGCCACACCGCCACGATTAGTATCACCAGCGGTGGTTTCCGACACGAGCGTTGAGGTATTTAGCAGTGTCGCGGCATCGAGGTGTCCAGGCAATCGTCAGTCGCCAAGGCTTAGCAGGAGGGCAAGCATTGAAGGAGGAACCGCTGTGTGTTGTTGATGGGAGGAGCGTGTCGCGGATGAAGAGGAGGTATGGTGGATACGGATAGGGAGGCGCTCATGGGGTTCCCCGGAAAATATCCTGAGGACTGGGCTCAATGTGTACTACTTCATTCACGAAGTACACGCGGGTCTTGTACAAACCGAACAAGCAGGGCTGCAACCACCATCATCGTCCACCTCAGGCGAAGCCAAGCAAAGAAAAGGAGACACGCCTCATGTTACCGAGAACTAGCGCAACCACCTTTCATTTTTCCATCGCGTGTCGCACACCCACGTGGAAATATCCAACCAAGCCGAGTAATAGTTGGCGCCCCCACACAACCACCACCACAGGCGCTCGCGCCCAAGACAAGCAATCCAACAGCCGGTCCAGAGCACGACTATTGAGAACATCGACCACGAAGTGTATCTGCACAAACAATGTGGCCGTTTCGTCGAGATACCCCGCTCACCGGCTCTTCTTGTGCCGCCCCCGGTGCACCCCTCCCCCAGCCCCTCCCATCCTGCCTAGCTTCTTCAGCCCGGACGAGAGGAGCCCCAGACCGACAGAGGCAGCGCTAACAACCTTTGCCTTTTGTTGTCCCCCACATTTCGAACATCGATTTGTCCGGTCGGCAGGTGGCGCGTCCAAGGTACGACCAAAGAAGCGACAACGGAACGACCAAGCAGGCGGGCGAAATCAAAGCCTTGTACAATAGTCATATTGTTTGCGTGTTTGTTTGGGAGTGCAAGGGGCTGAACGGGAACGGCTCCGGATTGTCACACTGCAAGACCTGTGACTAGAAAAAAGCGAGGACACGCTTTCTTGTCAGGCAGCTGCATTGCTGTGCCCTCGATGCATTCCGTCTTGCGGTGTCAAGTCAGGAAATAATCTTGTGTCAGATAAGTCTTGATGCGAGGGAAAATCAAAGGCGGCTAGGACGCCTGGGAAGTCGTTTCCACTCGCCTAGACAGTGCGTTCTTGATCAGGGAAGAGGGCGCTACTTGATTCTCGCCATCCGTCGTCGAGCGACAGACGACTGCGAGAGACATCAAAACCTAAACTCTCTACAAGTAGCGCTCGTCATTTCCGATCGTGAGGGTTGGGGTAGATCGGGATCAAAAGCCGCCTCTGCGCTCGGTCCAACGAACTCGGGGTAGGTAAAATCAGAAAGAATATCTCCCTCTTTTCATCTCCAAGGCTTGATTTCGGGCATTGCCCGCTCTTGCCTCACCTCGTAAAGATCCGGCACGTCCGGTCTTGTCCGATCGAGCAACAGCCCGGCCAGGCGTCCCACCAGGGTGTCGCACTCCGCGGTGTGCTCCGTTCGCGACCCCCCCTTGTCGCTGGCAACGCCGGGGGTCTGGTCATTCAAGAGGGTTGTGTGTGTGTCGGTTGGTCGGTCCGCCATCCCGAGACATGAGACGGGGCGGAGGGAGACGGTGTGGGACGCTGGGCGGGTTAGGTTGCGCGAAACTATTCAGACCAACACGGGCAGGACAGGGGTGATGCTCGACCGCAGCATACACCAAGGATGAGCCATTCACCGCTGTGGCCACGATGAAACCGAGCGCTCCGGGCAAGCTCGATGGTTGGTTAGAACCCCAGGCAAGGACTCGTTCATGCCGACAGAGCACACACTTCTCTTCCCGTGTGATCGCGTCTTTTCGGTCAGATTCCGCTGGATTCCATCACGTGGGGTAGGCTGCTTGTCCCTCTAAACTCCCCGCAAGACGATCTCTCACCCCCTCGCCAGCTTCGTCCTCTCCCCAGTCATCCCAACCTTCTTCGCCACCACCGTCACCGCCGCTGCCGTTGCCGCCCCCAGAAGCCGACTCTGCCGCCGCTGCTGTTGTTGCCGACGCGACGAAGGTGTAGGGCTCGAAGCCCAGGTCTCTGAGGACTGTGGTGCTTTTGAGATGGAAGGATCTCGACGAGGCCGCCTCTCGCAGGCGCTGTGTCCTGTGGTCGGGCGACATGACAAGGTTTCGGGGGGGGCTTGATAAGCAGACAGTCCGAGGGAGGTTGGAACGAACAAAATTACTGAATATGCACTTTGTGCACGAGCTTCTTAGAAGCGCATGTGTATGTGTGTGAGAGAGAGCGGGGAAGAGAGAAGATAAAGAGAAAGACGAGGCAGAAAGGACTAAAAGAGATTGGAACACTGGACGAAAGCAGGGTCGGGAGATACAACTTGTAGAGCCAACTCAAAGACGAGCGCATCGTTTGACGAGCTTACTCTCCAAGAACGGGGAGGAATCATCGCAGACGGCGGCATACCCCCATCGGCACTGCACCAGCGGTCACGGGACTGTCGTATGGACGCACCCACCACCCCCTGCACAAGGACAAAACGTGTCTCGTTCCGACGACGCCACCCGTCGTTTGGGGTCACCCCACAGAACCGCACCTTTCCCTGGCGATGTCCTCCAGCTCAAGCAGGACCCCGGCCTCCTCCACCTCTCCCGTGCCGACGCTCTCGGCAGCAGGCTCTGGTGCTGTCGTGCGCTCCCGCTTTCTCGAGCGAATCTGGTCCACCGCCTCGGCGACGCCCGAGGGAACTCCCGAACCTTTTTCTCGAAAGCCCCCGGCAAGCATTCGCGAAATCCAGGCCTGATTATGAATGTTGAAGCAGAACAACGAATTGCCATTTAAAGGTTCATCCGGTCTCTGTCTGCCGTCGAATCGTAGGCTTCGACGAAACAATCTGTACCGAGAAACGGTTTCGCAACATGCGAACGGCTGCGCGATACCAAGCATTCTCACAGTCAGCCCACCACAGTGTCGTCTGCTGCGGGCCAGATCGAAGATACTGCATGCGCCATCATTGTAACACCAGGACAGCACACGGTGCTACCGTGCGAACAACACACACCACAACGAGTAGAGACAAGCAAGGACTGCCCGCTCCCTGCAGCAGGCACAATACGAGGTAGGGGAGATGACTGACGTCAACGTAACAAAATGGCCACGGGTCCTTGTCCTCGGTTGCTTGCTCGAGAGACAAAAAAAAAACAAACCGGAATCCACGTTCCTCCTCACTTTTCGAAAACTGGTGGCGTCCTGCGCCCCTATGCTCTCTCCGGCCAGCGACACCCCCCTCAAGGCCAGCAGCAGGGCCTCCCTCGCCGAAGAGCCCGTCCGAGCCGCTCCGGCGCTGGGACTCGCAGTGCCGCCTGGTGGCGAGGAGGAGGAGGAGGAGTCCATTGATGGTTCTCGGTTGAGTGTGGCGCAGAGCTGCTCCATCACCACGTCGACCGTGCTACCATCCCTGTGGGCAAGTACCGGAGAGGCAGAGGCGACCAAGCGGAACAGAAGAGTGCAGCGGTCGATGAAAGGGAGGGGGCAGGGCTTTGTGACAAAAACAACAAGCAAGGAGTGTGCGACACCGTCAGCGGCAAAAAATCACGCTGAGCCTTCTCGCGGTGTATCTACCGCTTCAAGCTCTCGTGCCCTGAAACTGAACCACGTGCTTACCCATGACGTCTGCTGCTTGGAGCTTCGTGTGCTATTTAACACTGAATCACGCGCTTGTCCATGGCATCTACCGTTTCGAGCTTTCGTGCGCTGAGATGAGACTATGCAACGAGCTTGTCCAGTACACACGAGACTTTGACCAGGACTTGATGCGGTGATAGGCGTAAGGTGATTCCGGGGACAACGAAACCACCCCTGCGCCACCTTGACACCACCCACAGCCCTCCCTGCCTCGCATGGAGGACCCCAAAGCGTCCGCGCGCGAGCGCGCCCTTCCCTCTTTCTCTTCCACAAACCTGAGCTGCCGTAGCTGCACGCGCTCCGCCGCCACCGTCTCCGACCACCCGGACCCCGCCAGCGAGGAAGTTCTCTGGTGGGCCTCCATCGCTGCCAGCGCGACTTGCAATACCCCGCGACACCTGAAACACACTGACGCACACGCCAACAACGATCACCAGCACGGCAGTACAGTATTGGTGGGGTAGGAGGTACACAGGTGTGCTCGAGATGAAAGGAAGGTTGAGGGAAGACTGAAAAAAAAAATAGACACAGGGGAGGGACCTCACGATGAGCGAGAAAGCATCATCCCACTGAAATGCGAGAAGGAAATAACGTGGCATAGTACAGGTTGTATGTGTGTCGCCCGGCGATCTAGCTGCGGCAGCTTCGATGAAGAGGCCATCCACTCCCCCCGCCCGGAACAATGCTCCGTCCTCTCGAGGACGCGTGGTCTAACAGCTAAGGCATGCATAACACGTATACGCCCCCCCCGCCCAGCCAACAAGCCGTCACCTCTATCACCCGACAAGCCGCCAGCACGAGGATTACCCTTGGCGAGGCTGGTGACCAACGCCATGATCGACGACCCCATGCCTCGGCGCTTGCGCGGCGGCTGTACACAGCCGTTGTCGGAGACGCACCTTGTCGGAAAAGTCGTTTTTAAATTTTATCGGGAGATGGGAGAGAGAGAAAGGGGGGTTTACTCTCTTCTACGCCGGTAGGGGTAGCGTCACAGGGATGGACGTGAGGAAAAGAAGATATAAGCTTGTACAGTACGGAAGGCCCTGCTGCAGGCGCAATACGTGCTGTTCCCGGCGTGTTCAACTAATAT